AAATCTGCACAACATAAATTGAGCAGCTGATTTTATCATAAATAAATCCTGCTGTGTATGTGGTTGTAAATACGCAGACGAACTTCAAGTGAACGAGCACGCCTGCCAAACAGCCTGCCAATCACCCATGAGATCCACATGACTAGAGACCAGCAGAGCTCTCATTCATTTAAGAGATGTTAAAACAAACAATCAAAAGTGCTGCTTGGGAGACCACAACATGTTCACATCAGCAATTGACATGTAGCAATGTTGACATCTAATTTATAGCTCAAGGAGCACGTACAAGCAAATAAACAGGCATCCCTGGTCTAGACGTCCCTCTCAATTTGCCTCTCCTATGGTCCACTGCCTTTCAGATGGCGTGGCGGAAGGAAAATAGAAAAGTTGAGAGTGCGCAACTTTAAGCTGATGTCTTATTTACAGGTCCAGTCTCTCTGAAAACCCATGTAAAACATAAACCTCCCTGAACACAAGCACACAAACACACCACAAAAACTGAAACCTCGACAAAAGTATTCCACTTGCATGTGCAGTTTAAGATGCGTCAACATGTGAACTGGGGGGATGCAAGGAAGGAAGGGATGTTTTCTACAATGACAAGGAAGAAAAGATGATCTGAAAACATCCATGTCTCTCCTCTCCTTCATTCCAGTCAGATTCTCTCAGGCAGATGTTGTCAGCATCACCTTCATGGAGCAGAAACTTTGAACTGCACCGTGCACCATCCAGGGGTTTTCAAGCTGCAGTCTCATGATCTTGCTAAAAGCCACAAGATACTTTTGCATCGCCATGGTAATACCTTCAGGTAACAAGGAGATTAGAAGCAATGAAAGACCCGTGTACCACAGCAAGCCTTTAGCAAAAGGCTTTACCAAAATATTTAAGGTAGGAGTACAATCACACATTGTTACTCTAAGAAGAAATAGGTACAAAGATTACAAGTCTTTTGCTTGGAAATCATTTACATTTAATTGCTGAGACTGTTCTAAGACTGATTTAATTTCTGAATAATGTTTTTTTTTTTTATAAAAAGTCAAAATTTTAACAGACGTGCCACACTTTCTGCTCACTCAAAATAAACAAAAAAATCTTAGCATTCTGTCACTGTTAATGCAACTTTTAGACAATTTTCTTATTGGCACCCACATCAATTATTTGTGCAAAAGAAATGACAAGCAAACAAAAAACATGTGGCTTCTTTGGCCCCTTGTCAAAGTCAATTAGTCTCCTCAGGTAATGACCCTATTTGCATTGTAAACCAGGCCCTTGTGTGAGAGGGCTAATGGGGCCACTACCTGAGAAGATTAATTGAAAGTGACATTACTTGAACTCTCCATTTTTTTTCTTGCACAGCCCTCTGAAAGATTGTCTCATCTTATTTTAATGTCATACCACATGTCTAAACAGCGAGGTCATCTTTTCAAACTTTGACATGAGTGAGGAGGGGGGGGAAAGGACATGGTGATGTGTTTGAATAATGTCTGTGTTGTCCGCGCTGCTTTTTCCTTGGGCTCAAAACTTTATACACACACACACAGATCACAACAAAACAGTACACTCCTGTGCAATATCACTAATATGTATTATTTGTAGGGTATTTGCTTTTAATATTATACATCAAGATCTAATAGATTAGTTAGACTACACTGAAAATACAAGCCCCCAAATACAACTTCAAAGCAAAAACGTGAACAAAGAACACCACAGCGTTCTCAGGTTTGGCCGGATTTGTGTCTGTTGCAGCATGGCTCCACATGGGAAGAAACCATATTGTGAGATTTCATAAAGACAGGACAGGGTACAAGAGCATCACAGCTAGTCTACATAACTCCAAACACAGTTCCAGCAGTGGCTAGGAGCTACAGCAGTAACCACATTACCAATAACCGAAGGAGCAGGGGACATGCTCAAAAAAAAAAAGCCATGCACAATTCACTATATATACAACCTTGCACTGAAAATGCTTCTGATTTGGCACAAGGATTATCTGTGGAAATCGGCATTTCAGTGATTGATTAGACAAAGGAAGGACATTGTATGAATTCAACTTTACAAGTGGCATCCAAGAAGAAAGCTATTGTTCAGAAAATGGCATAAAACTGAGATAAAATTTTGCCAAAGAGCACAGAAGGACAGAAAGAAGCCTGATGAATGCAGGCAGCACAATCTTTGGTCAGGAAAAACAAAATACACACAGCAAGTGCATATTGCAGGCAGTGAAACATGGAGGTGGGAGTGTGTGGATACAAGGCTGCAAGAGTGCAAATGACAGTAGATGGTAGTTTGCATACTGTACTAGTACACCCAAATACTGAATCAAAAGATGACCTTGCTGCAAAAAGACAATGATAACAGGCGTACTGCAAAAAATTTTAAATCAATTCAAGTAGAAACAAGTGAAAACTAGGACCTGTAAGGATGTTCCTTGACTTGATTCCTACAGAACATCTATGGATTATTTTACAGTGGAAGGTACAACAACAGGATGCTCCAGCAAGGATAAGCTGCATCGCACTAAAGATTTGGGCAAGACTGGTATCATCCCTGCCCAGAAGGATCACAGCTAATAAAATACAAAAAAATAAATACATTTTACTATTTGAATTGAATCTCACTAATGAAGTATGTGTACTGACTTTTGTTGGCTCCTAAATATGCACATGTCATTACAGTTTAATTAGTCAAACATTTGCTTTTCACATTAATTGCCTTCATTCTTTACTCTAAAAAACTGTATTCAAAGAACAGGATTTGTAGTCACTTAACGCTTTGGTGATCCTGTCCAAGGTTGAATGGACTTTTGTGGTATCATGAAAATGCTAAACAGTGATTTAACAACTTAGGCCCACATGTACTTTTAATATTAAACTTCTGGAAAATCACAAACAATATGATGTTTACAGTGCATTATAACACAATGTAACAATGCATGCATTTTTCTGATGTATTCAGGATGCAAAATGTGCACACAGTAACAATTATTGTATCTGTATGATTATCTTTAATGGCACAACACAATATTATGAATATATAAACATGAATCAGCTCAATGCTAACAGCCAGTTAATGATGGCTATTATTGATCCTATGGATTGACAGAAGACTGAGGGGGAGCACATAGGCACATTTTCTTTTTTGACAAAAGGAAGCACTGATGTTGCAAAAGGGATAAACAGATGACAGTGTCACAGATTACTGCCACAGCCTCTTGTCCTATCTAATTAGTCTTATGTGTATTTATATTGTTATAATCTGATCAGTATACAAGTCTCAGGCCTACTTTCAGTATGAAAATAAAGGAAACACAACACCATTAATGTACCCATCTGTTCTTTTTTCTCCTATAAATCAAAAGCAGAAAGTCATTTGTTCTCATGGCTGAGGGCAGGCGGCTTTCATTTTCTGAAAGAAAGAGTTACGTCCCACCCAAATGAGTGGGAAGAAGGGACGGATGGATGGATGGATGAATACACAGCTAGTCAGAAGAGATGGCCACTGCCACACTCTAATTTATTTAATAATGTAAGAGAAATGACCTTGAGATGAGTGAAGTGCTGAATTTCTCCTCAGACGGCAAACAGAAACAATGAAGCCATCCTAATTGTGACATTACAATCTAGCACCCAGTGAGCGATCAGAGGGGGATTGATTAGAGGGGTGGAAAGGTGGACGACTTTGTGAAAAGGTCATTGCACACTCTACCTGGAGTTTTTAATATTTTCAACCCTCCACCTCCTCTCTGAATATGGAATAAAGTGAAAGAAAGAAAGAAAAAGTACAACTCCTGTGTGATTACAGACTTTCTGGAAAGTGATATTTTCCCTAACGCATTAGTGAAATAAGATGGTAATTTCCTGGGGCCAGGGTGTAGCCAGGCAGAAAATGATAAAAGGAAATAAAGATGGAATGAATAGGAGGATTCTTCCTTTCTCCTCTTCCAGCAGTGGGGCTAACGTGGAGGTTAATTGAGAGGTTAACAGGGGGTTGTGTCAGCTGAAGGTCAGACTGCTCTTCCAGACAGCAGGGGGTCCCTGCTCCCTGATGACCTCTGAGTGTTGTTGGCCATGTTTCCATGTTCGTGCTGATGCTACTGCCAGGTGAGCAACTTCTCTAATAGACAAAGGACCAGAAGAGCGGGACTGTGTAATGGACACACACACACATGAAAAGTTACAGATGTGGTCATGATGAAACTCAGTTTAGTTCCAGCTGCACTGCTGCCCCATCCACAAAAGGAAAAACAAGAAATACACTCCAGTATTTAGTACACACATCTCCCAGCGGAGACCTCACAAGTCTGACTTAATTCAAGATTGTAATGTCTGCAACTATTTACTGCAATAACCATGCACAACGAGAAATGTCCACCAGGACTGGAGACACCGATTATAAAAGGAAAAAAATTTGTATGGACATAACATACATTAATAAAAGCTATTCAGTTTATGATCATATATCGTGAAAAAAATGACGAGATATCCTCAAATGCCAGAAGCTGAGTGCAAGAAATGCCTCTGCACCACAAAAATGTTTAGCAGTAACTGACTGATTGTGTCAGAATTGATTCATAAACTAATTGTTGAAGCTCCATTTGATATAACCTTTTTCCAGATGTTAGTATAAACTTCTTGTCTGCTGAATATGTAACAATTGCTGATTGCTTAGAAATTAAATATACAAAATTGCAATAAGTCACTGTTTAGTAAGGTAAGTATACATGAAGAAAAAAAAAAGCTTAAGTCTTATATAGGATTTTTAACACTATGTAGTACAAAATCTTCCACAATCCTTCAAACAAAATGTTGCATGTCAAAATAGAAATTAAACTGTATGTCAAACAATATACAAGACTCCACATTCAAAGAGGAGAGAGGCCTCTTATTCACATTACTACAGTGGACTAAGAGGAGTTTGCTAGTCTAACAACTGGAACATGATGGGAAAAAATGGACAAAATGTGTAATTAAAAACCAAGTACAAAACAGTCATTTTTTGGTCATGTTTTATTTAAAAAAAAAAAACAGTTCTCCTTGAGACTGAAGACAATATACAAACCTAATAAAATGAGTTGTGAACTCCAAGTCAAGGTCCGCATCAAGATGAAAAGGTGCAAAATAAACACTTTTGAACTACTACATGTATATCTTTTCTTCTGTATACATACTTCACATTATAGTGTTCTCTTGGCACTTTTTGGTCCATGAAAAACCTGTGGCTTGAGTTCATCATAAACATGAAAATGAGGTTTACTTTCTGCTCCATCTGTTGCAGAGGTACACATCCAGCCTTAATATACATGATGACAGCGCACCATTAAGATAAGCTGTACACAACAGCACGTCATCTTTGTTGGCATTAGGAAGGGGCTTTGTTTTGTTACCATTTAGCAAGCAGAGCTAATGAGGGCCAGCATTAAGTATTTCCACTTAAAAACATCAAAGTGGGTCTCCAAGGCAAGAAAATGACTCTACTAGTGATTCACCACAATCCTCATCTCAAGATGTACAGAATTAATTAAGAAAAAAAGAAAAACTGTCTTTACCCTGCATTAGTTTACCATTTCAACATGACAGCTCATGATTCCTTTTTTCCATATTGTTAGTCACTGAGCTGGATACCCAAAAACTGCTTATGTGGCAACCAGTTTTTAATTCCTTAGCACATCCCTCATTAACAGAGTGCAGTTCAATTGGTCATAATAAACATTAGAGGAAGACTCTTATGGAAAATGGACAAACTGTACATACTATTTATCGTAATGTTATAAGAAAAAAAACAAACAAACAGTGAGCTGGTCAGAACCTTTTATATTTAAAAATCTCAGAATCTGCACAGTATTTCCAGTAAAGCTAACGCTTCAACTAGTGCCAAATCTGGAGGTATGAGGTGAGGTTCTTCAGGATCAAAATGTTTTCAGACATTCCAGTACTTTGTAAGATTTAGCAAAAGACTCTGAGCTCATCAGAAAGTGTGCAGTTTTTTTTCCTGAAATAATAAGGCATCAATTTTAAAAAAAAATGACAAAAAATGAAAACATTTTGTCCCTACAACTTTACCTTAAGTGTCAGAAAGTAGATGATAAAACATCCTGATTCACTTTTGATATTTCACCAGCTTCAACTGTTCTATCGCTACAGTAGATTATGTGTAGAAAGTCTGTGCTACAAGGATACAGTAAGCAGCTAAGAACATATTAAGTGTCACAAACTTTTTACAGTGTCATACAGCACTAAGACTGCAACCTCAGTTTCATAAAAAACAAGTTTTGAAAATGAAAAATAGAATAAATGTTATTTTGTTTAGTGTAGCAAGCAGTGTAAGCAACATGTTGGTCATCAAAGTGATGAAACGGGCAAGATAAAAGTTAGACTTCCTGAATCAATAATATAATCTTTTAAGTCTATGATAATACTTTTTGGAAATTATAGAATATACCTAACAGAAACAACTTGATATACACTGCAGATTTAATGTTCATACTGTATATCTGGAGTTACTTCTAACCCCAGCTGAGCTGGCTTTCATGAAAAAGCCCAGTATCAAAATATGTATTTCAAATCATGCTTCACTCAACCACACCATACTACTCCACACACACACACACACACACACACACACACACACTCAACTGTTATCACACAACAAAAACAGGACATCCACAAATGCATATGCTGAACATCACACACACACACACACACACACACACACACACACAAACACTTGTTCCCCTTTGTCTGTTGCTGAAATGTGAGTGACAACGGTAGCAGTTTTTCTATATTTTCTTCCACAATCCAGTTATCCCCCACAGACACACCCTGGACCACACCTGTAAAGTTCTCCCTATGTGGGGAAGCAGATGCCACAGCACTCCATGCAGATTTCTAGGCAATCCGAGGATTCGCAACATGCATCCATGATGCCACAGTCCATGTCACAAGGGCAGTTGCAGTCATCACCCAGGTCATCGGTGCAGCAGCAGCAGCAGCAGGCCTCCGATGTGCACACGCCGCATGAGGCCTGTGCCACCACCATGTTGCAAAGTGTCAGGAACTCACAGAACAGACAGGCCAAGATGCAGTGGACACAGCAGTCTGGATCCATGTCAAACCAGTCAGGGCAACAAGTTGTAAAATGAAATAAATGTCAATAAACTAAATACATAAAAACAAACAATCAAGAAGCACACAAATCTACAAAATGAAAATGAATGTTATAAATATTTTATTGAAGTGCAAATATATTACATTTGAATGTCAGCAAAATTTGTGCCTATTAGTAAAAGAAGTGCAAAGTAAGTGAATGAATGAAGACTTTCATGCTTGGCAGGTTTGACAGGTGGAACAGAGTAGGTATGTGGCAAAAAAGGTGAGGGCTAACTAGGTGGGGGGTGGGGGGCAAAAGAAATAAGAGAAATTAAAAAAAAAATGAATTCCTCTCCTTAAGTTTTGATTAACAGTGTTAATTAATTGTGGCGTTATCATGCAGACTGCTAGGCTGATCACACAAAGATGATTAGAGAAGTCCAAGAGTTTTCCCTTGGCAAAAAGGTGGATTAATGCTGGCAATACTCACACCTCTGATTAACATTTAACCTCCTCTACAGGTCCCCTCTCTATGGCTGGTAGAATGTTTCAGCTTGTTGTTTCACAGCAATAAAGAGGTCACCCTTTAAACTACCAAATGTGCCCATTAACCATCACAAATCTGTTTCTGACTGGCTGAATTAGTTACACCAGTTCATTAAAATGCTACTATGGTGACTTGAATCAATAAAACTAAATAAATGTAAAGTTCTTTTCAGTCTACTTTTACTTCCACTGACAAACTATGTTAGCAATGGTATGGAGTGTTTAATTCCCACATTTTCAAACATCAGGAAGCATTTTTCTTCAGTAATTTAATCAAGTCAAAACTTGTACTTATTCTCCTTTGAAAAAAAAATTTAATCAAAGAGCTCAAGTAGCTTTTTTTCCAAATGGTAAAACATTTGATTTGGAACAAAACTTTTAAGTGGGTTCCAGAACACAATGAAGAAGATAAAAATCAGGTGTTATTGCACAAGGGGAGATTAAAGAAAGAACAATGATTGTTTTTTCAGAGCAATGCACACATTAGATGCTGTCATTAATAAAACTGCTCCATACTACAACCTCTGTAGTTACAGCCAAGTCACTAAATCATGCTAAATATAATTCAGTAAGTGCATCTGGCAACCAGACGTGGACAAAATTGTCGGTACCCTTCTGTTAAACAAAGAGAAACTCACAATGGTCACTGAAATAACGTGAAACTGACAAAAGTAATAATAAATAAAAATGTACTGAAAATTAACTAATGAAAATCAGTCATTGCTTTTGAATTGTGGTTCAACAGAAGCATTTAAAAAAAAAAAAAAACTAATGAAACTGGCCTGGACATAAATGAAGGTTCCCTTAACTTGATATTTTGTTGCACAACCTTTTGAGGCAATCACTGCAATCGAGCGATTTCTGTAACTCCCAGTGAGACTTCTACACCTGTCGACAGGTATTTTGGCCCACTCCTCGTGAGCAAACTGCTCCAGCTGTCTCAGGTTTGAAGGATGCCTTCTCCAGACTGCATGTTTCAGCTCTTTCCACAGATGTTCAATAGGGCTCATAGAAGGCCACTTCAGAACAATGTTTTGTTCTTAGCCATTCGTGGGTGTTTTTAGCTGTGTTTTGGGTCATTATCCTGTTGAAGGGCCCATGACCTGAGACTGAGACCAAGCTTTCTGACACTGGGCAGCACATTTCGTTCCAGCATGACTTGATAGTCTTGAGATTTCATTGTACCCTGCACAGATTCAAGACACCCTGTGCCAGATACAGCAAAGCAGCCCCAGAACATAACTGAGCCTCCTCCATGTTTCACAGTAGGTACAGTGTTCTTTTCTTTGTATGCTTCATTTGTGCGTCTGTGAACATAGAGCTGATGTGACTTGCCAAACAGTTACAGTTTTGTCTCATCTGTCCAAAGGACATTCTCCCAGAAGCTTTGTCGCTGGTCAATATGCATTTTGGCAAATTCCAGTCTCCCTTTTTTATGATTTGCTTTCAACAGTGGAGTCCTCTTCGGTCGTCTTCCACGAAGTCCACTGTGGCTCAGACAGTGATGGATGGTGGGATCTGACACTGATGTACTTTGACCTTGGAGTTCACCTCTAATCTCCTTGGAAGTTGTTCTGGGCTCTTTGGTTACCATTCGTATTATCCGTCTCTTCAATTTGTCATCAACTTCCCTCTTGCGGCCAAATCTAGGGAGGTTGGCTACAGTGCCGTGGACCTTAAACTTCTGAATAATATGAGCCACTGTAGTCACAGGAACATCGAGCTGCTTGGAGATGGTCTTATAGCCTTTACCTTTAACACTTTAGTTTAACATGTCTCTGTGGTCAAATTATTTTCAATCCTTTCTAGGGGTACCATCATTTTTGTCCAGGCCAGTTTCATTAGTTTCTTTTTTAAAAGTCTTCTGTTGAACCACAATTCAAAAGCAATGGCTGATTTTCATTAGTTATTTTTCAGTACATTTTTATTTATTATTACTTTTGTCAGTTTCACGTTATTTCAGTGACCACTGTGAGTTTCTCTTTGTTTAACTGAAGGGTACCGACAATTTTGTCCACATCTGTATATTCCTTGCAACCGTCTCCTTTTTGAACCAAGACCAGCACCACTGCTTTGGAGTGTAAAAAAAGACACGATGTGGATGGATGCAGCAAAATAGCATTGCAAACAGAGCACATTTGCATAACTTTCATCAGCCCATCTTGAGCTGTCAGAAGGGGCTGTTACTGATTGGGTTAGAGGGAAAGCGAAAGGAGGAGTGTGTGGAGGATTGCATGGGAAAGCAAGCTGAGGACCACTGGATGCTCATGTTTGATTAATCAAAAGTAGAGGGGATTTTTTTCCTATTTTTGCAGTGCTCATGGCTGTAGAGCTGACCAGAAGCACTAGCTTACTATGATACAAACAAGACAGCAAGAGGAACATGAAATGAGCAACAGTATGTGTGTGTCTGAAGTTTGAATGCATCTTATCCTTATCTGACAGAATAACACTGGCAATGAGGACGTATGAGAATAAATCGCTCACTATTAATCATCTGGTTTGGACATGCAGGTAACTGCTGTTGGGCAGATTATGAAATTGTTTCATTTTAGCCCAACAAAACTCATCCCCATTCTACACTGACATCCACTGTGGTGTCTGCTACAGTGCCTATAAAAAGTATTTACCCCACTTGGAAGTTTTCACCTTAGATTTTGTTACAACACTGAATCGGGATATATTTAATTTGGCTTTTTGGACACTGATCAACAGAAATGTGATCAGTGTACTGAACGTGTTAATGTGAAAATGGAACTCTACAAAGTAAAGTGCATTAATTAAAGAGACTTTTTCTGTTGATAGGTGTCCAAAAGCAAATTAAATTGATCACAATTCATTTAAAAAAATAAATTAATTAAAAAAACAAAATTAAAAGGTGAAAACCTCCAAGCGGGGTGAATACTTTTTATAGGCACTGTACCAAATGGTCACAGTTGCAGGCGCAAAACCTCAAGGTTCAGCTTAACCTAACAAACTCTGAAGGACACAGAGGGTATAACCATGCCAGCTTTCAGAATTTAACAGGAGACCGTGAATACAATATAAACACACTACATAATGGCCAGTCATCTCAGCTATTCACTTGGATGTATAATTCAACGCAAGGAGGAGGGGAATTGGGAGGGGGGGGTCATATACTGTACACAAGAGAAACGAAGAGAAGACAGAGAGATAAAGTGAAACCAACCAACAGACAGAAAGAACTGCACACAATGACACTGCTCCCGTTTAATGTCAGTGAGCGACTATGAAGCCCAGAGTTTGCAAGCCCAAAAACGGTGCCCGGCGCATCTGAGGAAATAGTCTGAGACATCTGCAAAGATAACATCAAAAAGAAAGGAGCGGCATGACACAAAACAAGCTGGATGGGCTTCAGTGTAGCGAACTGTGCAAAACATTCAAACTTACAAAAGAGGGAGAGACGGCAAAATATCTAGACAGATAAAGACGAGGACAGTGGCCACAGGAATGCACAGAAGATGCATAGAGGTAGACGACAAACGATGGGAACCGAGGGAAACGTCAAAGCTAGATGACTAGAGCCTCCATTCACCCACAAATACATCTAGGTTTATAGCTTACGCCTTCAGCCCTAAATGAGGCTAAACCAGCGTGGAAACCTTAACTGATTAAACACAATTAATGAAAATACAAACTGGATGACAAGAGTCAAGCCATGCTGATGAATAAAAGCAGTGCGGTAAATGACTCCTCAGATGCTACGGTGTTATCACAAATTGGCTATGGTGCCAGTAGCATATGCCAAGAAACAAAGAGCAGCAGAATCCCCAGAGCTAGCCCCTGCTAGTTTATGCCTGTTATTTCCTGTGTTCAGGGGGCCTGTTTAGGAGGTTAATTTCACAGGCAAACAGATTATGTTAATCCATGTAAACATTCAGACACAACAGCCTAGCTGTCTTCCGGGGGGAAATAAACGGTTAAGAGCGATCATAGTGATTCTGAGAGCTCTCATGTCTGCAAATAAGTAACACAAAAGCCATAATGAGACAGACTTGTTGAGCTGCTGCTGTTTTATACCCCCCCACCCTCGGGTTCTGTATCAATTACGAACATGATACTTTTACTTGCCAGGTATTGTCAAATGTGCGTACCTTCTTGTTTTGTTTTGTTCATCTGCAGCTCAATCTGATATGTAGTTCAAGTAAAGCATCTACAAAGAAAGATCTGACTGCCCCCTTTAGTCCTTCATTTAAAAGTATACAGTACTGTAACTCACCCTGTCCATTGCAAATCATAGCTTGGAGTTAAAGACCATGTAAAAAGACAAAGCAGCGAAGGCCTAAGGTTGGAGGAATAAGTAGGAAATGCACATCAACAATAAATAAAGTTGCCTATATCCAATTATATGGGCTACAGAGGGACAGAGAGCACATGCCTGTCCACACACACACGCACAGCCACAGAGTACAGTAGTTGGAGGAGATATGCAACAGGGCCCTATTAATGAGGGCTAGGGTGGTGCTGACGGGATGCAGGCAGGGCCCGAAAGGGCCAGGAGAGGTGTGAGGGGCCGTGAGAGGCCCACAGAAGGCTGGTCATGACTTTTAATAGGCACCCTGTGGTCTTAGGCCTCGTTAGTCAGTCACACCTATCTCTCCATTGGAAAACTGCCTTCATTACTGGACTCACCTCAGCCCTGCACCTGACAAAGTGACGGCTTCCCCGCGTGGCAAACGCACTCTTTGACTTGTTGTTAAAGAAAATAAAGCCACAGGAGCAGGGTAAGGTGTCATTTGCTTGACGAGACTGATAAGTATGAGAGGTCATGCACTCCTATCACAAAAGGTGAGAAAAGGTAAGAATACATGATCAATATCTTATAAGGAATTATTTCAGAAGTGCCTCCTAAAAACAGCACCTTCAAAGAAGTCACTTTGGTGGTGTTCTCATTTCACTGTATATTAGGGTGACTCCAAGTGTTTTTGCCCATCAGGTGAGACAAGATACATTTTCCTACATAACAGTTATACAGTGCAGAGTTGTTCATTTTATAAAGCCAAGAATTGTTTGTTGCATTTCTGTCTTTTCATTTCTGATCATTTACTTGAAGGATTTACTTTTGTTTAAATCTACCAATCTGTGTTTTTATGACACTATAATGACTGGTGTTTAATATATAATAAAAACTCAATACAATGATATATTAATGAACTCTGAGGTATCTGGAGCAATATGCAATAGACATTTTAAAACTACACTGCACTGACCTCGATTCCACATCTCTACTACCAATGGAATGAATTAATGATCAGCAGAAGGTTGAATGCAGAAAGACAAGAATGCAAGCAAGCATCAGAGAAGTTAGTACAAATATCAGTGTGTGTCAATTTGTGCTAAATTGTACTCGTTTTTATTTGCTGTCATTGCTACCTTGTGTGTAGATACTCACCCTCGGGTAAAGGAGGCTTCTGCGATCCAGAGGAACTGATTTTGCTGCGTCTGCTGCCATCACTGTTGACTGATAAGCTGGATTTCAATTTCCTCTGCATCCTCTGTGATACAGGCGTGGACGGCTGCTTCCTGGGCTGTTCTGTCGTTGTTGCTGTTCCTCTGGCGCCAGGGTCTGACCCACCCATGGCACCCGTGCTGATGTTGGCACCGCAGGAGCATGTGCGCATGGACCCAGCCCTACTGATGCCAGGGTGGATGCCGCTGCCATTACTCAGTGTGGGTGTGCCAGTGCAGTTTTGGTGAAAGTCATTTTGGCCCTTGGCAGGATCTCCGGTGGCAGGCTCCGAGGGCACTAACTGAGGCACAGTCTGAGGTTGAGCTGGAGGGAAACATGAAGAAGAAAGGACATCATTTTTTCTACATTTGGATTCAGTACAATTACAGAACTTAAAATCAGTATTTAAGGTGTGGTATGTCATATTTCCCTGAAGAATAAGGGTCTAAATATAGAACAAATAAATCTGAAGACTGCTTTTTATATTCCAAAGGCAAAAAACAAAACAAAAACGATGTTAATGTAGATGACAAAACACTATCATACACTGAAATACAAGAGGACCAGTGGTTTTCTTTAATAAATTACTTTGTATCTAAAAGACTTTGTTTATTTTTATGGAGATTAACACTTGACAACCTTGTAACTTTATTTTAACTGAACAAGAACTTTGTCTGCACTCAGCTGTAGCTTGTGATATTCACTTCTTACGAATCCAACACAGTAATGGAGACATCATTCTCAACTAAAACCATTCTCAGCAAATCTTGCCACAATTTCCTAACATGATAATATCAATCATATAGCAAACATTTGAACCCTGAATGACAGAAAGAAGCTAAGAGATATAGGAACCTTCTATATGACAGGTTCACAAAAGCCATCGCTGTTGGCACACAGACATTCGTAGGAGCAGAACCCAAGTGAGCTATGACAGTGTGAGAGAAAGGGAGATCAATGTAGTCAGAAGAAAAAGAGAGCCTGTGATATTGTGCATATACAAAATAGCTGCTGTCTGCAACAGTAATGATCTCCTTTCCTCTGAAAGCTCAGAGATGGCCTCAACTAGTCTTTCTAAATGTATGTGTGACAGCCACAGAAAGTCAGGAGACAGCGACCTGTCTGATAAGAAAGAAGGTGAAGAATGTGAGTGAGCAAAGGAGATGGCATTTTACTGAGAGGAACACCTGCACATTCAGCTCTACTGGGAGTTATTCCTACATTACCTTCCCTCCACATCAGAGCCATAGTGCATGTACATGCGCCGACAGTGCGTGCTTAACTTGAGATTCTGTGAATTATTCATCTCTTAAGTTGGTCTGTGTGAACCATATTTCATATTATACATTTTCTTTATAGAAATTTAGCACACGATATCGTCACTACCTAACTCTGCCTTATTTACCAGCTGTATAGTATAAACTGAAGGAAACCTATGGATGCTTGTTTCAATGTTTTGCAACTGTCCAGAAATCAAATTTTCCAAATTGGACACAAACATAGAACTTAATATGATGCTGGTAGTTTCTTTCCATCTCTGTTTTCTTTGTGCCAGCTCACCAACAAATGCAATTACAGTTAACAAGAAAAGGAGAAAGTGTGGGAAACAGGCCTTGTGCTTTTTAACAACACATCACCCTGGGAGAGGCCGGACATGCAATATGGATGTAAAACAAAGCAATTAAATACACACACTGGGTTTTGCCTTCTCTTCATTCAGGGTTCTCCATGCTGCTTTCATAAACAAATATAGACTATAGGGATCAGGATTCCATGCAATTTCAAATTAAACAACTAGGTACCACACCACAGAATTCATTATGCAGTGATTTAAGACCAGGTTGATGGAGTTTCTTCTCCCAAAATGCTCTGCAGTCTGCCCATGACAATGTGGAAAGAGACTATAAAGCCTGCTAACAAGGACCCTCAGAGTAGGCTCTATCTGCTGTTCATCAGTTTAACCACTGACACATTCAATTTGCTGTGTTTTTCCCTTTCCTTTTTAAAAATATATACCTTGCATTTTTATTGGGCCAAATATTGGGAGGAAAAAGCCAAAAACACACCCATACACACACACACACACACACACACCATAGCGGGGTTTACTACACATCATCGGTCTCAAGTGGAAGAATGATTTATTGCCTTTAAAAGGACAATATTTAAAAAGTTTCTTTCTAAATTAACTTCTAATCGGTGAAACATTGTATTGATCTGTATGTATGACTGTCACCTCACAGACCTGTAGGGCATCTTTTGTTCAGGAGGCAAATTAATTACTAACAAGCTGTTTTAATTAACAAGAATCACAATCCAAGTTATAAAAGCTAGCTCATCGATGGGTTGTGATATACAGTATTTCTAATAACAAATAAGCAGAAAGTTAGACTAATTCACTTCAGGAAGAGGGCTGTAGAGGTTTTTGCAAATTTATGCCTTTAGCCAGAAGATTTACAATCTTGTTTTCAAACTGGTAGGTTTTTATGTTATTTGATTCATCAGATGTAGCTGCATATTTTAAATACTAAAAGCACTGGCTGGTTGATGGGACAGAGGAGGGATTTCTCTCTATGACCAATGATTAACTTGTCCAAACTCATTTGCAAAGGCCTCTCATAAACACAAATGTAGCACACTTTACAGACGTACTGCACAAGAACATCTAAATCATCTGTTTCTTGGGAACTATCAAGTCAATAGAACACAGCAAACCTGTGTCTAGAGAATGATTGTTCCTTAACAAATCAATCACCAATAGTATTTTGTGTAATAACAGACGTTTTTCCCCACTAAAGTCAAGCAAACTAGCCACATGGACTCCCACACAAACACATTCAAGCACAAGTAAACTGGGAGGCATAATTACCTTTCACTTTGAGGAAACCAAGTATAAATAGTTATTAGGAAACCACCACGTAACCACGTAAAACCTCGAGTACATGAGCAACGAGTCAGGTTTCTGACACACTGCAGGGCCATAAAAGGTTCAGCGGCAGGTTATTGGATAGACTTTACACAGTTGCAGTTCTTTATTTTTATCCTGATGAGCACGGTGACTAAAATGAATGAACACAGTAATATTCATAATCACTGATCATGTTAATGATAATAGTGTCAAACATGGCAATGACAGACTTGTACAGTCACCATGAGACAAATGAAGATATGAGAAAAAGCTGAAATACAGTAAGTCTTGTAGGAATGTGCTATGCTGGTAAATTGAGTCAAAACCTCCACTGGACATGCCATGTATTGGGGAAAAAAAAATATATATATTATATATGTATATATCTACCCGGTTGTTTGGTGTGTAATGCAAAACTGCACATTTTGCATTGTATTAATCAATTCTAACTAATCAGACTGAATTTCACTATACTATAAACAGAAGTACAGACAGCTTCTATAAGAGTTTACATAATATTAGCCTTTGCAATTTTAAGCATTCATCAAAATTTGATACAAACAACTCCAAGCATTTTTTAAATCATAGTTGTGTGGTTGCTACAAGCTTGTACAAAAGTGTAAGAGTAGGTGTCCTGAGAAAACTGAATGCACAAGGCCTGACAGGTTGCATTAAAACACCATGTTCTGGAGGAAGAATTGGACGCGCGCACACACACACACACCCACCCACACACACACACACACACACCCCTCAAATTGGACTTGTAACCGCCCTATTTCTAGCACATCAACAACTGTTGAGAGTGTACATTTGTAGTTGAATAAAACATGGTATTCCCCTACACACGCTGTCACACACATCACAGGGGAAACTAGGGGGTGAGTGGTTCTTGACTGTCTAAGCAGCATCCCAATTTGGTCCCAGCTACTAGAAGCTGACAGCTTCAAATATCTGGGGAGTATTTTTTAAAAGGGCGGTGTTTGATGGATTCATGAAGAACGCACAAATATAATTGCCATTTGTCACAGAGTCTTCAGTGGCTGTGCCACGCAGGGACCAAACTCCAGTGTGCCTGGAGAGTGCAGGAGCTGCGCCAGAGCTGTGTGGAAGATTGCTCTGTATGCAAAACTGAGTATATAAACACCTCCATTTTTGTTACAGGTCCTACAGGAGACTGCTGGAAATTGCACCCAAAAGACAGAAAAAAAGAAGAAGAGGAGGACTACATGTGTCACACTACTCTCTCTCTCACACACACACACACACACACACACATACAGAGAGGCAGACCTAGCAGGAAATAATATGCATGTATGCATGTCAACTGAAACATAGCTGTATAAACAAGAATTCTAAAATAGTCAAGAACATGAAAATATAACACAGAGGTCATACAGGGCAGTATGGAGATTCTCATTTGCACAATGCAACACCAAGAGTCACAGGTAAGGCAGGGAGCGGACTGAACAACCACACAAGCTCCGTGTTTCTAAAGCTCAGTCCTTTTTAATATTAATGCCCCTGAGACAGAGAGAAAGAGGGAGAAGAAGGTGTTTGCCTAGGCTTATTAGAATGCCCATCATAAAGAGCATAGTTATTCAAATGTCACATCATGTCAGCCAAATAAACACCACAATCCAGATCTTGTGTTCTTCTCCTAATAGCCATTATTACACAACACTACGAGTTTATGAGTTAACACTGAATGGAATATGAGAGTAGAGGCACCTTTGTTTTTTTTAAGTTACGAGTCCCAAACCAAAATGGGCAGAATACATAGCAGCAGTTAGCTCTGAAATGCTAATTCTACTAACACGGCAAGCGTTTTGTTTATCTTTTTGTGCCTTGTATTAGAAAAACATGTATATTTTCTGCTCGACTGGCCACGTACCTGCATGATTGAAATGCTAATTTGTAAATGTGCAATGACCTAGCCAGGCTCCTCTTACCACCACCACCACCCCGTCCTCCTCTCTCCGTCAAAACAGCCTGAGGTATCATCTCTCCTCCTAACAAACAGCAGCACGTGGAGCAGCCCCTGCCTTTCAATCCAAAGGGATATATTTTCTCATTAGACATTATACATCTTCCCTGTCCATATTTATAGACACAAAACCAGGGGAATTATACTGCAGTGAGAGATGTAGAGGGACACACAGAGAGAGAAAAATAGTACAATGAATGTTATTACAAAAAGCTCCGACTGAAATTTTCCTTGGGCATATCAAAGCCTCGTTTACCGTTTGACCTTCCAAACTCGGAACAAGGACTTTCTTTATTGTCTAGAGGAAAGCCCTGGAAGGAACGGACAGGTGACTCAAGGAACATCATTCAAGTGTTTCATCACAACAACAAAAAGCCTAACTGTGATTGGTATCAACATAATGCAAGTATCAGTGCTGCAAATGAGAGC